TGTGCAATTGCCTTTATTCCCTCAGATGCTTTCTCCCTCAATTCGCTGATGTTAATTGAGAACCACTCACGTGCTCTGTTGTGATTCAATTCAGATCTGTTTTTGTCGTACCGTATATTGCAATTACAACAAATACCGCAATATTACATGTTACTGTGTGATTCCCACCCCTAATATACAATATTTTAAGAACCAAATGAACATGTTTATCATTATACAACACAGAGAATGGAGTCTTATTTTTTTCTTTACAACTATGAAACCTCACTTATTTTTCCAATCAACAGGACAGACACAGTATTGGTCAAGTTGTTGATGAGGTCTTTATTTCGATGTGTATTTTGGCACTCAAAGTGCCATTTTCAAATCTGTTTTATAAAGCTCCATTCTAATTGGCTATGTCTCTTCCACAGTGGATTTTGTACTTCTGATTTGTGCATCCCAGCAGTGGAAAGTATTTAAGTGTGAGCAGTGTGAGGAGTGGGTGGTTCTGGCTGGAGACAATACAGACAATCCTGATCCGATGGAAGGTCGACTGTTTAATCCTGCACCTAACTTCATCAACTGCAGGTACCTTCAGTATTCTATAAAGCTTCCTTTTTATTTGGTGCTCATTTTGTGTTCTGAAGATTGATTATGCACCATTGCACCGGGATTTGGGAAAGATACCGTGCACTACTCATTTTGATGTTCGCAAAATTTGAATCGAAGCAACCGGATTGTTCTGTTTGCTCAAGTTGTTTCACCTTTAATTCAGAAGGCTTTTTCAGTTCAACATTTTTTCAGATGTGGCATCTCCCTATTTATGCCTCAATGGGTATGTCAGGTGTTGCTTGTCATGGTTAGTGAGGAGACCCTCCGTTGTTGTCCACCCCACCCGCCTTGTGGCAAAACAGTTCATTAGAGACAGTTTTACTGGAGAATAAGACAATCTTTGGGACGAGCAGTGGCGGGCCGTGCATTTCAACCTTAGGCCTTCAGTGACGTCACACACATACACAATATCGGCTCGTCAAGCAGCACTTAATTTCAGGAGCATTTAAAATCATCAAGGATGTATTCCCAATTAAGAGCAGGAAACTACATTTACAGATATTGTCAAAAACAAAAAGATGATTTAAAAATACGAAATAAAATGCCACCCAAATTACGCTGTGTGATCTTAAACAAGTCTGTCCAATAAATTGCGCAATGTCGCAGTTTCATATAAGACACCAACCAAACAATAACAAAACAAACTATTCTTTGAAAATAAGCAGATCATTTGCATTTTGAAAATCGGCGATACAACAGCAAATAACTGAAAATGATGAGCAGCTGAGATTGAACGAACTTTCGTGCACGAAGGTGACTACAATGCGCCATTATAAATTGCAGGTGAGCAGATTTATTTGATACATTTTTGTATCTTTGTCATTTTATTTCGTTACCATGAATTTAATACTAACGAAATAAAATGACAAGAAGAAATGTAAAATAAAATTCATTTACTCACCAATGTAGTCAGTGGCAGACCCTGAGGGCCAGCAAGGCCTTCTCTGCTGGCCTAAACATTCTCAGAAAAGTAAATTTACTTTTATGTATTTTATGTTATTTTATAATTTATGTTATTTTACTTTCCTAAATATGTAAACAAAATTATTGTCTGTATTATTTACATTATATTATTTCCACTTAGTTGATGTTATTGTAAATAACATTGAAAGCCACTCGATAAATAACTTATTTATTATGGTAGAGTTTTTAACCAATCATATTTCAG